ACAAAATGGGATTTGCAAACCTCCTTCACAAAGATGATGTCATATACATGAAAGTGATTATAGATGGGAGAGTCTTGCCAAGAGGTCTAGATAAATCAATTGATGGATCCCCATTTTGTACTAGAAGCATTTAAGGTGGTAAAATAATAAATTCTTTTCATCCATTATTTATCAGTGATACTGGCCGTGATCAGAGGGCAGGCCACTGGCTTGGGTGCCCCAGGGAAGAGTCTGACAGACCTGCTGTCCTTTCAATTCAAACTAGAGTTTTGAAAGCCATCAAGGGCCAGGCTGTGGACATTGGCATTTTTCAAAGACTTCCCAGGTAGCTCTGATGTCCAGCTAGACTGGAGAAACACAGGCAGGATTGCACCAACCCTGCATTCTGACCAGGGCCAGCCTCCAGCTCTGAGTTCCAAGCCTGTCCCAAAGCCAGTGTCCCTGGATAAGTGCTGCAAGGGGCAGCTGTGAAAACATGGGCGTTTGTCCACATCAGTGGTCACTCAGCCCTCAGACTTGAGGGCTTCCCCACAAGGTCTCACCAGAAGTGACCAGTGCTCCAGCAGGGCGATCGATTGTTCCATCCTGCTCATAAAGTGTCCCTTCCACATGAAGCCTGGCCTTCTCTCACCCTCCAGTCCCTGCCCTGCCTCTGTGCAGAAGAGGGGTCCCGGGAGGGCAGCCAGACGCCAGTGCTCCTCTCCTCTCCTCTCCTCTCCTCTCCTCTCCTCTCCTCTCCTCTCCCTCTGCCTGAGAGATAAAGCTGCCTCTCCTGGCAGGGCCTTGCCCTCCTCCTCCCCAGGACTCCGTCTGTCTACGTTCCCCCAGCAGCTTGCTCTCAAAAATAACCGCTCACCCGGCATTCCCAGTCACGACTCCCGTCGCTCACCCCCGGAAAAACCCCCCTGTAATCGCTGAGGCGGCAGATCTGGGTGAACTGAGAAGATAAGGTGCCCTGGCTAAGGGTGCTCCAGGGGGTGGGGGGAGCTGGGGTGTGAGTTAATGAAGGACTCCCTCCTCCTCTCTTCCACGGCCCCCCAGGAGGTGCCTGCACCTGCCTCCCAAGCTCCATTTTTTCTCTTTATCAACACACGCGCAGCTGCTGGCGGCATCCGGAGGACCCCTGGGTTCAGAGAAAGAGTCATGAGCCTGCCTTGCTCCCTCCAAAACTCGTGCAGTACCTGGCTGCCTGCAAGCTCCCAGGCTGACTCCGAAATAGCTCCCCTGCCATCAAAGTCACTGCTGGGAAGTGGGGTGCCCTTCCTTCTCCCAAGGGACCTACCTGAAGGTGCTGGTAACGGGAACATATCAGTAATGAACATGTGGCTAAGAGAGACAAAGAACCAAAGGACAAAGAACCTAGAGGTTTTAGAGGTTCTTCTAGAACAGTCCAGCACCCGGTGCGCTGCCCAGGAAGAGCAGGCTGGGATGAAATATCCCGGCATCAAGCCATTTAATGTCGTTGCTAGAAAGATTCTTTGAGGACATCTGTTTATTTAGCATCTAAATGACATTACGATGCACAGTTGTGAGTGCCTTGTAGGTATTAACCCAATCTATCCACTCTGGAAGCCTAACTGGTGGGATGGCTGGCATCTCGATGGCGGCTCAACTTGGTGGCAGTCAGGCAAGAGAAATTTCTAGGGTCCTTTTTGTTGTGTGTTACTTTTCTATTTTTGCCCTTTAAAAGGGAGGGGGCAGCCCAGAGCCTTAGACTAAGTGTAAGTAAGGGTGGAGCCTGCTCCAGACGGTAGCTTAAAGTCCTGTAGGGCAGGACAGCGTTTGGTGGAGCTCCCCAATTAAAACAAGCTTGGAAGCAGGAGTGGCATCCACTTCTGAAATAGCTTGCCTCTGGAAACCGTGTGAACCTGGAGAAAGGACGAAAGTTATACAGGACGTGTCCAGGACTTTCGTTCATGGGCTCACTATGCGTCGCCTACGACTCGATAACACTTAACAACAACACCATCCTCTTGGTCCCATTTTCCAGATGAGGAAACTGAGGCACGGCAAGGGAGGTCACACAGCTAAGGAGTGGCAGAGTTGGGATTCAAACTGCCTGGCTCCGGATTCCCGGCCACTTTGCAGTCTTGGTCACTTTCCACTCACTTTGCAGGTGTGGAAACCTATGTCAGAAAGGGAAGGGCCTGGCCTAAGATCAAATGCTGGGTGAGGGACAGAACGACACCTAGAAACCAAGTCTCTTTCAGTGTCATTCAGGCTTCATTCACTCATGAAGTGTATTAGACCTTATTCTGTGCCGTCTTCACATGCTGAGGCTCCAGGTAGGTGAGATCGAGGCTGGTGAAGTGGGACGTCACGTATTGTAGAGGGCTCTGGTCAGCACCCACCTCTCAGGGACGTGTCTCAACTCAGCGTTGGGTTTGCAAAGAGCAGAGGTTTTAGAGCTCAGCTGCAAGATTGTGTGGACTAAAGGCCAATTTTTTAAGAACCTTCTCACGTTTTAGTTCTTCTGTACAGCATGGAGAGTGAAGATGGAATCAAACCACAGGATTTGTGCAAAGATACCAGAAATCTCAGATGTGAACGCTCCAGGTGTGTTCTGGGCACTCTGTGATGGTGAGGATAGACATACAGTGACGATGATGGTATTACTGTCGGCGGTGAGATGTGATGGTGACACTGTGGGGGTAATGGTAACAATGGCGGCAGTGGTGCTGATGCTGATGGTACCGTGAAGGTGGTAGTCATGGCAATGGGAGGATGGTGGTGGTGCTGATGTTCGTGATAGTAATGGTCTCGGTGCTTACGATGGTGGCAGGAGTGATGATACAAGGATGGTGACGCTTCATCTTACATACTGTCAGAATGTTATAGGGACCGGTCATTCCTTGGAGCAAGACATCATGCTTGGTGGAAGGTCAGCAAAAGAGAGGAATGTTTTCAGTGAGATGGATTGACACAGTGACTGCAGTAATGGATTCAGGTGCGTCAGAGGTGATGAGGACGGCACAGGCTAGGCCAGGGTCTGTTGTTGATAGGGTCGCTGTGAGTGGTATTCAACTCGATGGCACATAACAACAGGGGTGATGAAGGTGCCATTAGTGAATACGGTACTGGAGGTAATCATGATAATTCTAGATATAATGGTGATGAGAACAGGGCACTGTGACATGTGGTGATGATGGTGGTAGGACAGATATTAGAATGGGGGTGCTGGTGATGCTACTACTCATAGTGGTGATGATTTAATGGGAGCCAAGGCAATGTTGTTATATTAATAGGTGCTGGCAAGTCGACTGGAGCTCATGGAACAACAGATCAGGATCCTGCCCTGTCCTGTGCCATCCTCACTGTCTCTGCCCTGCTACAGTCCATTGCTGTAGTCTCTGTGCCAATCACCTCTTTAAGGGTCTTCCTCTCTTTCAATGACTTTTCCAAGCATGACTTCTTGTCCAAGGATTGGTACCTCCTGAAAACAAGCCCAAAGTATGTGAGAGGACGTTTCAACCTCTTTGCCTCGAAGGAACACTCAGGTTGCATTTCCTCCAAGACAAAAAATGTTCATTCTTTTGACAATCTGTTACGTATTCCACCTTCTTCACTAACACTGCCATTCGAAGGCACCAATTCTTTTTGATCTCTCTTCCTCATTGTCCAACTGTCACATGCACATGAAGCAATTGAAAATGCCATGACTTGGGTTTGGCACACCTTAGTCTTTAAACTGACACCGTTGCACATTGAAAGAGGTCCTTGAGAGCAGATCTGCCCATTGTAACACATCGGTTACTGTCCTGGTGGCTGCTCCCGTGGGTTTTAATCATGGAGCCGAGTAAAGATGAGATCACTGACAACTTCTCTCTTCTCTCCATTTTTCATTTAACTCCACTCTTCTCTCCATTGGTCATGGGAATTTTTGTTTCTTACATCCATATTTCATTCCACGTTCTAATTATTCATGGATGGGTGCAGCTGTTTCCTCTCATTTTGAGTCTCACAACATCAGCAAATGAACGCCCTTCATTGAGTGAAAAGCTTGACTCTATTTGCATCATTAAGACAGACTCCACTTGGAGGAAGCAGCAGGCTCATTCTGAGGGCCATCTCACCTGAGGGGCTCATTTCCCAACTCTGTAGCCAACAGTGTTCTGCTGCTAGTCACAAGGTGTTCAAGGGCCTATTTCAGAAGTGGGTGATCAGTCCTGCTTCTTGTTGTTGTTGTTGTTGTTGTGTGCCACAGAGGAAGAGCCAACCTCCAGCAAATTTTCAAAAGTAGTAAATCAGAGCTCTGAGTAGGGAGAATAGGGAGCTCTGGTGGCCTATTGGTTAAGAACCTGTGCTGCAAACCTGAAGGCACGCAGTTTGAATCCTCCAGCTGCTCGAAGAAGGATAGGCTGTCTCCTCCCGTGTGAGTAACTGCTTCTGGAAACCCGCTGGAGGGTCAGCCATGGGTCGGTACTCAACAACCCAATTGCCAGGGAGGTTATTGCCCTAACTTCTACTGCAAAGCAGCTGGTGGATTCAGTGTGCCGTTGGGATTGCAGTGCAGCTTCTTACCACTAGGCGGTCTTAATCCGGAAGCCCCACCGAAAACCTGTGGACCAGGGGTGACCCTGCTGGTGTTTGGAGTACTACTGATCTAGCTCCCGGCATCGCAGCAACATGCCAGGCTCCACGGTGGCAGCGGGCCGAGGAGTTCTGGTGATGGTCGTGGGAAGAGCAGTCCATGTGGAGTTGGTGGTGAGGATATGTTATAGAGATGATGGGATGGGCCTGGCACTTATGTTGGTCAAGGTTATGATGCAGGTAGTATCAGTGTAACAGCGATGGTGGTGGTGACAACAGTGACTATGATGTGAGGAGGATGATCATTAACCTGGGCATACTCAGAGGTCCCCACTCCTGCTCTCGTCAACACCTTGGTCAACCTGCAACTCTCTCGGTCTGACTCACCTGCCTCATCTTGCTCCATTGGCTGACGGAGGGAGGACAGTCTAGAGCTCACACTTGATGCCTCCCCTGCGTTCTCATTGCAGACAATCATGCCCAGCTTTCCCGGGCATCCCTGAGGATACGAATCCTGGATGTGAATGACAATCCCCCAGAACTGGCCACGCCTTACGAGGCAGCCGTGTGTGAGGACGCCAAGCCAGGCCAGGTACTGGTAAAGGGCGGAGGGCGGGGAAGGGGGCACTGCCAGGACTGGCCGGGAGCCCCCACCGCCCAGAGCAGAGGGGACTCAGCCTCCTGCCCCGTGTCACCTTTCAGCTCATCCAGACCATCAGCGTGGTGGACAGAGATGAGCCGCAGGGCGGCCACCGCTTCTATTTCCGTCTGGTGCCTGAGGCTCCCAGCAACCCTCACTTCACGCTGCTCGACATCCAAGGTGAGTTACCTCTGAACCCCAAGACCCCTGGACACATGGAGGCAGGCCCCTACCTTCCTGTCTCCTTCCGTAATCGAGACAGAGGGGGTCAGTGCTGGGTTTATAACAGCACAGAAAGTCCCAGTCAAGCTGGCGTTGCTACTCAGCCTGCTTGCTGACCATCCCCTGAAGTGCAGGCGGGATGTGTGTTGATAGAGTGGAGAGGATGTCTGAAGATTAGGACACGGTAGGTGAGGAGTGGGTGGGCCGACCCCCTCTGGGGTGAGAAGAGTCCCTGTTCTGCCAAGACAAACAGCCACATGCACACCCTCCGCACTCTCCAGGCCCAGCAGGGCTGTGTCCACTCCAGGTCTCTCCACCTCCTCACTCCAGCCGTGCACACTGGTGTCTCAGTGCTTTGCGCATTTTGTAGACAATGAATCTGAGAGGTGAGGATAAGAGACCTGCTCAGGACCACACAGGGAGTCGGTGGTGGGGATGGAATTTGAACTCTTCCTGCCTTAGCTCACAACCTTTATTTTTTTAAGAGTCATCTTCTTTTTTTATTTTTTTATTTTTATTGTATTATTTTTACGTGTACCGTCAAATCAGATCTGACTGTTACAGGAGGAGATTGCCCCCTCCTTCTCCAGCAGAGCATCTGGTGGATTTGAACCGCATACCTCTGGGATTGCAGTGTAGTGTCTTGCCACTAGGCCACCAGAGCTCCCTAGCTCACAACCTTGAAATCAAGTTGCCTTCACCCGCTCCCATCTGAACTAATGCCACTCTGGGACAGCCCCTGATAAGGCCCCAAAAGTGGACACTTGGACCTTCAGAGAATGAATTACAAGTGGGTGGAGACAGGGTAGGTGAATGGACTTGGACTAGGGAACCTGGACAAGTCCGTGTGCAGTTGATGGCTCTTTGGCTCACTAATCCTTCTCTATCTGTAAAATGGGCTGATGCTGCCTCAGGGAGCTGGGTGGTCCCAGTGAGATGAATGTGTGTTGTCATACGTTGTTGTTGTTATGTGCCATTGAGTAGCTTGCGACTCATAGCGACCCTATGTACAGCAGCCCTAAATCCTGCTCTATCCCTTGCCAATCTTCTTGTCTCTGACACGCCTGTCCCTATTACCCCAGAGATGGAATCAATCCGCCTCATCAAGGGTCTTCCTCTCCTGTGCGGTCCCTCCACCCTCCCAAGCATGGTGTCCCTCCCCAAGGACTGTTCCCTCCTTGCAACATGTCTAAAGCATGTCAGATAAAGCTTCAGAATCCTTGCCTCCAAGGAGTAACCTGCCTTTACCATCTCCAGGACAAACTTACCTGTTCTCCCAGCAGTCTATGGTATATTCAGTACTCTTCTCCAGCACCACAGCTCAAAGGCATCAATTCTTCTTCCCTCGTCATTGTCCAGCTCTCTGAAGCATAGCAAGTAATAGCAAACACCACGGCCTATATCAGGCACACCTTAGTCTCCAGACTGATATCGTTGCTCTTCAGTACTTTAGAGAGGTCTCTGACAGCAGACTTTCCCAATGTGAGATTTGTCTTTTAATTTCCTGGCTGCTGGTACCAAGAGTGTTGATTGTAGAGCCAAGCAAACTAAATCTGTCAACAATCTCATTCTCTTCACCCTCTATCATGATGCTGCCTATCGGCCCTGTGGCGAGAATCTTTGTTTTCTTTTTTTTTTTATTAAATTTCATTAATTTTAATGAACATTTACAGGGATTTTGGGTTTTCACTCCTTCATTGCTGCACCATTCTCTCTACCCTCCTCCCCAGTTTGTTCTTCTTCCCCCGCCATCCGAATGTCTGTTTTAATTGTCCTATTGCCACAGTGCTTGTCAAAGTCAGTTCTGATTAATCTCCTTTGTCAGTGTGTCCTTTGCCATTCCCTATCACTCCTCCCTGAGAGAGACTTCACCCTGATTCATAAGGAAAAGGGGATGGCGTATTCTCTTAGCTACTTCCTGCTGAAAAGGGACGCTGTGGGTTTCAGGGTGAAGATCTTCTCTCACTACTCTAAAGGGCCCCTTTGGCAGTAGGAAACACATAGACTATTATGGAGATTGATTTTGGAATTTAGATGCACTGTTATTAATTGTGCTTAGCCATACATGTTCATATCCTTGAAGATGTATCATGGGGGGTTGCAACCAGAATCTTTGTTTTCTTGATGTTGGGTTTCAATCCATATTGAAGGCTGCACTCCTTGACATTCTGCAGCAAGCGCTTTGTAGAACTTACCAATTCCATCTGTCATCAAATATTTCTTGAGCATGTTCTGGTGCCAGGCATTGTTCTGGGCCCTGGAAACATGGTGGCAAATAAGACAAAGCCCTTGCTTTGTAGGGTTGACATTCTCATGAGAGGCAATAGGGATTAAACAAATAATAAGATCTTGGGGACAAGTGACTGGGGAGGGATAACCCCATTTAAACAAGAGCTTGGACCTTTAAAAACAGAGTAGTCTCAGAAGGCATCTTTGAAGAATATCATTCGTTGGTCAGGAATCTGGAGGAAATAAAAGGAAGCTGGGCAGATAAGTTGGTCCAGGTGGAAGAAGCTGCATGTGCAAAGGGCCTGGGGCAGAAGCAGGCCTGGGATGTTAAAAAAACCAGGAGACCAGCTGGCATAACTAGAGTGAATGAGCAATAGGGCTGAAGGAGATGTGGTCAGAAATCACACAGCTCTGAGAGGGAGCATATTGGTTCCTCTTGGCCCTGGAAGGGGTCTGGGGTTACCCTCGGGAGCTTTATACACCCCCTCCAAGGGGCGAGGCCCTCCGTGCCTTCAGATGCCCAATCCATCTGCATTCCCAAGAACCATATTAAAAATATTTAACAGTACAGATTGCCAATCAAAAAGCTGACCATAACCAGTAGCAGGCCCAGGACCCCTCCTCTGCCAGCATCAACCCGCTAGTTGCTTGATTGTGGCAAGGTTGAGGAATGCCAAGGGTAGGGGAGGTGGTGGGGGCAGCAGGGGGGACATTTGGGAGACTCAGCGTAGCAGCTGTTTAAACTTATCAATATTTTAACAACTGGTATAGCAGGTTATCCGCTCATTGTTCCACTGCTGTGCTGAGCTGGCCCCAGCTTGACCCGGCCAAGTTCACAAGTCATCCCATCGCCAGGGACCCGAGGTTCTGCTCCAGCTGCCTCTGTTTATCTGGAGACCAGCAGAGCCCGTGTCCAGCGTGGCCACCCGGTCTAAGTCCAGGGCGAGGGTGGCAGCAGCATGCCTAAAATCAGAACAGTCATGGAAATGCCCCTCCCTGCGACGTGCCAAGCCCCCTCCTCCTCACCACATAAATATCTGGCATGACAAACGGCTACCCCAGCCCATCTGTTTCTTTGTACAAATTTGTAGCCAGTTTGAAAACGGTGATTTATAAATATTGCTTCTGCAGCCAGGGATCGACACTGATCTATGTCAAGCCAGATGGATGGATACATTGCTGGGCGCCAGTCCCACCGACAAGGATTGGGAAGGGGCCTGGAGTGACCAGGGGCTTCCCCAGCTGAGGCCAGATGCTGCCCAGGAGGGCAGCTTGGAAAGTTCAGGGATGGGACGGAGGAGTGGCAGGAACTGGCGCCCTCAGAACATATGGTCCCATGGCCAACAACCACCTTGTGAGACAAACACTTCCCCTCCCTCCCTGCACTTGCTAGGGAATTTGAGGCTCAGCCAAAGGCAGCGACTCATTTCTCAAATCTGTCAACTCCTCTCTGTCTCCACTACTCCTATTACCTCACACCTAAAACATGCACTTGGTCCCTAACTACTGCATCCACTCTTGTGTTTTAGATGACAGTCTCTTCATCTAGAATGTGGGTTCAGCAGGACCAGAGACCCTCTCTGTCCTGTTCATTGCAGCCCCATGGACTAGAAGGATAAAAGAGCACTCATTGAACACTTGGTACTGAATGAATGGATGTTTTATTAGATTGTTGTTGTTACATTCCGTCGAGTCACTATGACTGATAACAAGCAGGTGAACAACAGCCGTGAGCCTGGTCCTACCTGTCCCGTCCTCACCATCTCTGACACACTTGAGGCCACTGTTACAGTCACAGTCAATCCATCTCATTGAGGCTCTTCCTCTCTTAACATTGACCCTCCGACTTTCCAGGAACCAAGGACTGGGACCTCCTTACAACAGGCCCAAAATATGTGAGACGAAGCTTCCCCATCTTCAGTGTCACCTTTTTCGTTGTTGATAAACCCTCCAATCACTGACCTCCCATTTCTGTTAGAAAACTAATCCAAATTCTTATCATGATTCCCGGGATCTTCCATCATGACCCCTTGCCTCTCCTCGTATGAGCCCGGTTCTCTGAGTACACTCATTCTTCTTTCCGTTCCTGGAGTGTGTTACGCCTCTTCCATCCTCAGGACCTTTGCATGTATTGTTCTCTTTCCTGGTTAATGCTTATTCATCACTCAGGACTCAGCAAAAATATATCACTTCTTCCAGGAAGCCTTCCATGCTGTTCCGGGCTGGGTCAGGTCTTCTATTGCATGTTCTTCCTGTATTTCACAGGACTTGTCATGGTGTGCAGTCGTAGACTTAAGTGTGAGTTTATTTGATTAACATTTGACTGTCGCCTATCCTGAGGGTTCTTACTGGAGATTGTGGTTGGTTCGGCTCTCCACTGTTTCCCTCCCAGTAAATAGTACATAGAAGCTTAACTTACCGCTCTCTGGTCAATGAAGACACTCAATAAATATTTGTTAAATGGACAGATAAAGTGGGTAGGTGGATGGATGAATGATTTGATAGGTAAACAGAAAAGATGGCTACGCCACTCTTTCACTGAGGGACAGGGGACTGCCCTGTATGTATATCCAAAGGACCCCTGAGCTTGTCACTGGGTCATTGGTTGGCCACGCCTTGACATTCTGATGTGCACGACCACCCTCTAGTGGTAGCTACTGGAATTGACGGCATAGTGTCAAGGGTGAATTCCAGCAAGTCACTTCTAAGTCTCAATTTCCACATATATAAAATGAGAATGAGTTCACAACTTTTGTGGTGGTTAGCATTAAACATGACACAGCCCTTGTTCATAAAAATCACCCAGTCGGTGTGAATGAATCCCACTATTCCTTCTCCCCATCTTGTTCTTGAGTTCCTGTCTTCCCTAAGGGGAAGGCAGAGGTTTCCTCAGCTAGCTGGTCCTATCCCTTAACAGGACTACAATTTAGACCAGAGCATAGGAAGCTGACTTGGGCCCTCCAGGTACCCCAAAGCTGTGGGTCAGATAGTGTGTTTCAGGATTGGCTCAGTGCTGGACCCCAGCCGGCTGTGAAGAGACACCGTCACAAACGTGATGTATAACACAACATGACAGGGTGCTAGAACTGAGGTGTGAAGAGCAGGGAGAGGAAAGCCATAAATCCTTCCTTCCCAGGAAAGCCAAGAAAGGAGGTCCCAGAAAGGAGGTGGTGTTTAGCATGAGGGATCTGCCCAGGGGATAGGGTGGAGAGGGTGTTCAGAGAGTAGGAACCTTGTGAGCAGAGCCGCTCACCAGACGATGATGGCAGGCTGCAGAACCAGGAGAATGGGGCTGGGATGGGATAACAGTAACAATCACCAGCCTTTATGTGTGGGAACCGTTCTCAAGGTATGTGTGGACTATACCATTTAAACTTTGTGTCTATAAGGATTAAATGATAGGATTTTCCTTCATTTACAAATGAAGAAACTAAGGTCCAAAGAGCAGAATTTCTTAAACTAGTAAATGCTCAGCTCAGTATTATTTTTCAAACATTTTTTATTAAAATTGTCAAATTGGAATTTAAAATTTTTTTTTACCACTGCTATTAAGTCAGCTTTGACTTAAGACAATCCCGAGTACATCAGAGTAGAAATATGTTCCGCAGGGCTCTTGATGCTTGATATTCAGAAATAGATCAGCAGGTCTTTCTTCAAAGGCACTCTGGATGGACTTGAACCATAAATCTTTTGGTTGGCAGCCAAGCACATTAACTGTTGTACCACCAGTGACTCCTTCTACAAACAATACACTAATGTAATAAACCTTCATGTGCCCATAATACAGTTTTCTCTCTCGATCACTCGTTTCATTGGGACTTCAGTTCACATCACAAATATGACCAAGGACACAATCGGTCCCTCCAGTGGCCCTTTTCCCTGAAATGCATTCGTTGCTTTACTACAGCAGACTGGGGGCATCAAATTGGGAGCTGCTGTGAAAGAGGCTGAGTTCACTGGGGACCAAAAGAGGGGTAAGGGACCTGGAATGCTAACGTGTCAGATAGGGGAGGCCAGCCTGCAGATAGCAAGGGCAGAAGGAAGGGACCCAGGCATGAGGCCTGGGGTCCCCAAAGCAAGACAGGGCCCCCACCCTCTGTGGAACTGGTCTCTGCGTGTCCCTGCAACACCCATTGCAGCCTAGCTGCGAAGAGTCATTGTAATGTGAGGGTCAGGGATGGCCTCACTCATGTAGGGAACATGGGTGTGCAAGGAAGGGAAGTCGGTGCTCCCACCACCTGAGCCTGTGCTCCCCTACCAGACACCTATCCCCCTGGGTCCTGCCTGGTTCCTAGCAACAGGCTGAGGCAGCAGTGAAATATGATTAGTGTTAGCTTATTGTCCCTTCTGGTGGAAGAGGGAACCTTGATACCCAGGATCCCTTGTAGACCAGAGCCACGTCCCCAAACCTTCCAAACTCAGCCTCTTAACCAGAGACCTTCCCAGACCTTGGGGCACGACAGACAGAAAGATCCCACAGCCAGAGACAGACAGCAGCCCACATTCCCAGACCTCTCGAGTGAGTCAGGACGCACTGACGACTTGTCAAGGCCTGGCATGCCACAGCCCAGAAATGACAGGACCCCAGGGCATAAGCACACTGGCAAACTGGGCTGGAATCTGGGGAGGAACAAAAGCAGGCTCTTGGGATGAATGGCCAAAAAATTAAAAAATAATAATAAGTTGACATAGTGGGGACAGGACCTTGGCCCAGCTGGGGACAGAATCTTGGAATAGCTGGGGACAGGACCTTGGCCCAGCTGGGGACAAAATCTTGGAACAGCTGCAAAGAGACTCTTGAGACAGCTGGGAATAGAGTGTTGGGGCAACTGAGGACAGACTCAGGGCTGTACGGCTGGGGACAGGATCTCCGGGCACATGGGGACAGAACTTGAGGACAGCTGGGAACAGAGCATTAGGAGAGCAGGGAAGTGACCGTGGGTCAGCAGGGGGCAGCAGGTGGGCGTGGAGGGAGGCGGGCAGGCGGTGGCGGGGATGGGAAGGTTGACCCCAATCACAGCCAGCCCTTCTTCCGGAGCAGACAACACAGCCGCAGTGCACACACAACACGTGGGCTTCAACCGACAGGAGCAGGACGTGTTCTTCCTGCCCATCCTGGTGGTGGACAGCGGGCCGCCCACGCTGAGCAGCACGGGCACGCTCACCATCCGCATCTGTGGCTGCGACAGCTCGGGCACCATCCAGTCCTGCAACACCACCGCCTTCGTCATGGCCGCCTCCCTCAGCCCCGGTGCCCTCATCGCCCTGCTGGTCTGCGTTCTCATCCTGGTTGGTGAGTCCCCAGAGGAGCCTCAGTTTCTCCCCCTGTGCGGTGATGGGCTGGCCTGAGCAATCCCACCTCTGATGTCGTTGAGAAGTCTAAGGACAGAGTAGTGCCCCACCAACTCCAGAGGGTGTCAACCCCACCTAGGACTAAGTTCATGCAGTTTCCCCCTCCATATATCCCCAAAGCCTCCCCAAAGATCCAACATCCAACTCTTTAGAGTAAAACATCTCTGTAAAATCTCTCATGTCCATAACCATTGCTGTTGAGTTGGTGCCCACACACGGCAGCCTATAGGACAGACCTGAACTGCTGCACAGAGTTCCAGAGCTGTAATCTTCACGGAAGCAGACAGCCACATCTTTCTCCAGTGGAGCGGCTGATGGGTTTGAACTGCCAATCTTCTGGTTATCTGCCGAGCTCTTAACCACTGGGCCACCACATTCCTCATGTCTATAAACCAGTGTTCAAACCCATTGCTATAGTGTCAACTCCAACTCATGGTAATCCTCCACTGGGTTTAGAAGCTGTAATTATTTTTTTAATTAATTTTAATGAAAGTTTACAGAGACTTAGGGTTTCCAGTCATTCCTTGTTGCACTTTTCTCCCTGCACAACCCTCCCTGCCAATTCACTCTTTTCTTTGAAAAGTAAAACTCTTTCATTGTTTTGCAATCCCTCCCCTCAAGTCCACTCCACTGTGCAGCCTTCATTGGACTCCTGTCATGACAATAATACCCAATCATATATCCCTTTTAAACAGTTCTCTCTCTCTTCTGTTTGAATGCAGTATACATCATCCCTCCCCTCCTTCTCTGTCTTCCTTCAACCCTGATGTCAGTCCCGTTTTACAACAGTGGCCGTATGCAATATTTTTTCCTTTTGTGACTGAGATATTTCACTCAGCATAATGTCCTCCAGGGTCACTCATTTTGTATAATATTTGATGAGTTCCTTGTTTTTCAATGCAGCATAGTATTCCATTGTGTGAATATACCAGAGCTTCTCTATCCATTCATTTGTTGATGGGCACTTGGGTTGTTTCCAGCTCTTTGCTATTGTGAACAAAGCCGCGATAAACATGGGTGTGCATTAGAAGCTGTAAATTTTAATGGAAGGAGCCTGCCTTTCATTATCTCAAAGAGCAGCTGATGCCTTCAAACTACTCACCTTGCAGTTAGCATTCCAACCCTTAATCTACTTCATCACCAGATCGCCTTCCTCGGGCCTATAGTCCTTCTCCATTTTCTCTGTAGGATTTCAGTAATAATATCTACTGTCCTGTCAGCTCCACCAGCGACCAACAGGACCCCAATGTCGCCCCCAGTGAAAGGTCAGCTTTATTCGTCAGCTAGACTGGCCAAAGTTGAACTGACTCAAGAGGTCAACAGGTCCCATGTCACTGCTGCAGCCAAAAAGTACAGAAAGACACCTCAGCCCCAAACACTGGCAACCAAAGAGAATGTCAAAGGAGGGCTGGGCCGCGGCACTATTTTGCTTTCTCCTGAGACACATCAGCTGCACCCACTCCCACCTCACCACCTACCACTGATGTGGCTTCTGCCCATTCTGGGGTGGCCAGCGTTCAGCCAGGCTCCCCTGAGTGGCACCTCCAGAGGTTCCTGCAGGCCCCTCCCAGCTGGAGGCCCAGCCCCCTCCTCTTCCCTGCCACAGCCCTTGGCTCTGAAACTCTTTTTCCAGAGGGTGCACTTTACAGCGGTTTCATTTTCCGAGGCAGTGCAAACAAATTTCTGCCTAATTGCCCACAAACGAAGAAAGTGCACATCAGTGCGCTAAAGGTGACGGGCGGAATCGCTGATCAGGCACAGCACATCTGTCGCCCGCCGCCCACACTCCCCACCATCTGCTCTCACGGGCATCCCCCTCTGCAGTTCCTCACCCTGTCCATCCATCTTTCCCACTTCCCTCTTGACATCTTCTCTCCTTCCTGGCCTCCCTCCGGACCTGCTCCCAGGCCCCCCGCCCTTCCCTGTCACCAGTCACCTTGTTAGGTGGTGAGCCCGCACCCTGCCCCATGGCCCCAGCAGCTGGCTCTGGCTACTAGCCCCTGCTGAAGCTGTCCGATGCGCCCGGGAGTGGCCACTGCCTTCCAGCCCTGTCTGCCCACCCATCCACTGATCCATTTAATCATTTCACGCCTTCATCCCTTTCCTAATTTATCCATCCTGTGAGCTGGGGATTCGTCAGACGGAAAAAAGAGAGACGAGAAGCCCTGAGAACTTGGGAAGTTGGACTTGTCAAAACAGAGACAGGGAAAGGAGAATCGAGAAGAGGGGAACCACAGTGTCCACTTTGGGCACTTTAACTTTGAAAGTCTTCTGGTCAACCAAGAGGACTTGATGAGTAGGAAATGGAACATGTAGTGTAGAGCTCAGAGCTGAGGACCTGCCTGGGGGCTGTGACACAAGAACCACAGCTTCTAAATGAAACATAAACCCACGATCCTGGAGAGGAGAGTGAGTAACTGAACAGGTTAACAGGGAGAGGGATAAGGAGAAACCTGCTTAGAAGACAGGAAGTGAGTGATCAGAGAGATGGGATGTGGATGAGAAGAATGTAGGGTCCTGGAAGTCAGCCACAACCATTCATTCAGTCACCAAGGTCTCCCCTCCACCTGTGGTCATTCATTCATTCATTCAACAAGCACAAGTGCTGACCACATGCCAGCATCTCCCTGGCACTTACAGGAGAGACAGATAAGTTAACACAATCTCTGCAGGGTCTGCGTCAAGACAGAGGGAATAAAACAAACATGCTGTCAGGTCAGTTTAAACTCCTGGTGACCTCACGTGTTCGAGCAGAACTGCCCCATCGGGTTTTCTTGCCTCTGAGCTGTGCAGTTACGGAGCAGATCACCAGGCCTTTCTGCTGCAGAACTAATAGGTGGCATGCCCCAGGAAACAGAGCAAAGCTGGCATCTGCCACCCGGACCTCTCTTGAGTCCCCCTAGACTCGTGAAGTCAGTGGTCAGGGCTGAGGTGTCAGTATCATTCTGTGCGCTGTGGCTACGATGGGGACAGGTGGCATTTCGGCCCCTAGTCTGGGACTAGTTCGCCCCTGGCCAGTTTTGCTCCTGGTTGACCTCAGTGGGGACATCTGGAGATTCAAGCTCTGCTGGTGAGACTGAACCAGAATATATTTTGCCCCCGGGTAACTTAAGATTTTCCCCAGTGTCCCAAGGGTTTGCTTCCAGTTTAGATGTATAGAAGGTGGCAAAGTTAAAGGAACCAGTGACCGAGGACATGAACTGACTGAAAACCACGTGTGCCCTCCAGGGACCTTGAGCTGCCTCAGCATTGCCTGGAGGTCTTGTTAAAACACAGACTGCTGGGGAGCTCTGGTGGCCTAGTGGCAAGAAGATGCACTACAATCCCAGAGGTGCACGGTTCTAATCCACCAGATGCTCTGCTGGAGAAGGAGGGACAATTTCCTCCTGTACCAGTCAGATCTGATTTGACGGCACACACAAATAATAAAATTTTTAAAAAATTTAAAAAAACCACAAACCACAGACTGCTGGCTCCCACTCAGGACCTAGGCTGGGACCCAATAATCTGGTTCAGGGACCACACTTTGAGAACCACCAGGCTACAGGGTTGTGGAGACAGGGGAGGCCAAGGCACCACACCCAGCAAGCTCTGGGAAGGGTTACTGCAGGACACAGCCAGACCCTAGACCTGCCTGAGCAAGTGTAAGTGTAAAAGAGAGAGGTCAGAGTCAAGGGCACTTCCCCTCCTCCTCCCTCCTCCCATTTCCCAGTCCCATCATCCTTAGAGATTGGATTTCACCCTATGGTAAGAAGCTGTTCTGCCAACCCAAAGGCACATGGTTCAAATCCAACAAGTGCTCCAAGTAATTGCGAAGCTCCAAGTAAGTGCGAAGACTATTCCCTGGGTAGGCGCACCTTAGTCTCAAGGATGACAGTGTTGCTGTTCAGTCCCCTGGAAAGGTCCCTGACAGCAGACTATCCTAATGCTTAGCGCATGACTTTCCCAAACAGCCAGGCTGCAGTTCCTCCCGGTGCCTGTCAAAATCAGCTTCCAGAGGAGAGAGGTCCAGAACCTTGTCATCGGGGTGGGGGTGGGGAGGATGGGAGTGAGGACCTGGCCGGACCTGGCCCTCCCTGACCCTCTCCCCTCTCCCGCCCAGTGCTGGTGCTGCTGATCTTGACCCTGCGGCGCCACCACAAGAGCCACCTGAGCTCGGACGAGGACGAGGACATGCGGGACAACGTGATCAAATACAACGACGAGGGCGGCGGCGAGCAGGACACGGAGGCCTACGACATGTCGGCGCTGCGCAGCCTCTACGACTTCGGCGAGCTCAAGGGCGGCGACGGGGGCGGCGGCGGCAGCGGCAGCGGCGGCGGCGGCGTGGGGGACGCGGGCACCCCGCAGGCCGGCCTGCCCTCCGAGCGCCACGCGCTGCCCGAGGCCGGTTCGAGCCCCGAGCCGGACTTCTCGCTGTTCAGGGACTTCATCGGCCGCAAGGTGGCGCTGGCGGACGGGGACCTGTCGGTGCCGCCCTACGACGCCTTCCAGACGTACGCGTTCGAGGGCGCGGACTCGCCGGCCGCCTCGCTCAGCTCGCTGCACAGCGGCTCGTCGGCCTCCGAGCAGGACTTCGCCTTCCTCAGCAGCTGGGGCCCGCGCTTCCGGCCGCTGGCCGCCCTCTACGCCGGCCACCGCGCCGACGACCACGAGCCGCCCGCCTCCTAGCGCCCCCCGCGCGGCCGCAGGGGGCGTAGCCCTCTTCGCCCCTTCCCCGGGGCCGCGGACCAATCACTGCGCCTGCGCGCCTCCGGGCCCCGCCCCGCCTCCGGGAGGCCCGACGGGAGGGGCTGGCCGGGACCTGCTCCCGGTGTCCTTCTCCTGGGTGACCGCTGTGGGACCCAGGGGTGCGGGAATTGCGACCAACGGCATTAAAACTGCAGCGACACTGGGCACTGCGTGGATCTGGGGTGCTAAGAGAGCTGGGGTGGGGGTGCAGCGACTGGAGGTGCAAGTTCCTTGGCCTGGGAGGCGCTGGACAGAGGACGCTGCTGAGAGCCCCTCCCAACCAAGGTTGTCGCTCCCTGAACAGAATTAAGAGGAAAGAAGGGCTGTTACTTTACTAAGCGCCTACTGTGTGCTGGGATGTTGTACTGAGACTGTCTCGGTTGTCGTAGAAATTGGGATGTGAGATCCTTTAGGAATCAGATGGGGAGAGTCGCCCAAATATGTGGCTGTGACGTGTCCAGGGACACCCAGCCAGTGAGTGAACGGGGCCTCTGGCATTTACCAGCTGCCTACCTTGGGCATGTTACCTAACGTCTGGGACCTCAGTTTCCTCATCTGTCAAATGGGGTTTATAACAGAAGCTACCTCTGAAGAGTTGTGAGGACGAGAAGTGATGACGGTACGTGGAAATGGTTAGAACAGTGCCTGGCACATAGTAGGTGTTCAATAAATGTTAGCCCATGTTACTATTATTATCACGGTCTTACTATTATTGTCATTAGTAGAAACCTATTTGTCTGCCTTCCAGACCCGAGCTCTTGCTGTCATCCCAGGTAGCCTTTCCCTTAACAACTGGAAGAGAGCAAGGAATGATCCCAACAACTGTCAGATCCTGCTCCAGCCCTGACCGAGAATGCCCCCAAAGGGCTGTGAAGTGAGACTCCTGGCAGGGCTGTCAAAAGAGAATGAAACTGGTGACTCCAGGGATTTGGGTGGTGGTAAGGGGGCTGGTAGGAGAAGGGGAACAAGAACCACCAGGTTCACTGGAGACCTTATCTCTCCAGTCCAGACGCATCACACTCCTCCATCCATGAATCCCAAGTTAAGAATTCCTGGGCTCAATAGTTTCTAAGAGTTTCCAGTTCTAAAACCATATACATGGTTATAACGCGTAGATTATGCATTCTCCCTGTGCCTGCTGCCAGGGATCCATTCATTCCACATTAATCAGATGTGAATCCCAGCCCCTGCTAGCTGAGTGTCCTTCATCAAGGTCCTCAAATACTGAAGCCTTCTTTCCTTACCTGAAAATGGGGATAATGGGAGTCTCTCCCCTTAAAGAATCGCTTAGAGGCTTAAAGGAGATCATGAATGTTAAGCTCTGATCCGAGTGCCTTCCTCACACATTGAAAGTACTCAATAAATGCTCCTGCGCCTTACATACCGACCCTCCTAGCGAGCGTTCATTCATGACCTCCGCGTTTCCCGAAGTCCACCTTGATGGATCTAGAGGTGTTCACTATGCCCTTATCTGTGTTGTTTCCATCTTTACAACCCTCAAAGTTAGATACTATCAGTCCCTATTCACAGGTGAAGTTGAGGCTGAAGATAGTAAACAACCCAAGTTTACAACGTGACACAGTAGTTCCTGCCTTCAGGAGCTCAAGACTGACTAGGGAAAGTGGGGGTGGGAAAAACCTAGAAACAATCAGGAGTGATGAAATTGGTGAGAGTTGTAGCAGAAGTAACAGAACAAGGAACATAGAAGGAAGGCTGGATAATTCCTGGAGGGCTCCCAGTTGGATCTTAAAGAAGGAGGAGTTGTTGTTGTTGTTGTTATTGTTGTTGTTGTGTGCCATCAAGTCAAGTAAGATTCATAGCGACACTGTGAACAAAAGACCTGAAACAAGTCTTGTCCTGTGCCATCCTCACACTTCCTGACACACAAGAGCCCATTGCAGCAGTCACCGTGTCAATCCACCTGGTTGAGGGTCTTCCTCTCCTTTGCCGACCCTCCACCCTTCCCAACAGTGTGTTCCTCTCCATGGAATAGCCCCTCCTAGCAATACATCCAAAGCATCTGAGGCAAAGCCTCATGCTTCTTGCCTCCAAAGAGCACTCCAGGTGCACCCTCTCCAAGACATATCTATTCGTTTTCTTGGCCATCCATGGGATGTTCAGCGCTCTTCTCCAACACCACAGCTCAAAGACATCAATCATTTTTCTGTCATCCTTATTCATTGTTCAGATCTCAGATGCATAGCTAGTAATAGGAAACACCATGTCCTGAATAAGATGCACCTTAGTCCTCAAACTGGCATCACCACTCCTCATAATTTGGAAAGTTCCCTAACTGCAGATTTTCCCATTGCAATGTGCTTCCTTATTTCCTGACTACTCATACCATGGGTGTTAATTGTGGATTCAAGCAAAATGAAGCTGTTGACAGTTTCAATCTCCTATCCATCCATTATGATACTACCTATTGGTCCAGCGGTAAGAATCTTTGTTTTCTTGACATGAAGATGCAATCCCTAATGAAGGCTGCATTCCTTGATTTTCTGAGATGATAAAACAAATAAAAGCTTCCACGTAAGAGAAGAGTATCTGTGTAAAGACAGCAGAGGGCAGTGCTAAGAGTAGGAAAAGCACATGGTGACTTCAGAATGGGGTACATTTCCAGGGGTCAGATTTCAGAGTGGAAGGGTAGGGAGAGCTAAAGTAGGAAAGTCATGTGTAGACAGTGTTACGAAAGAAGCTGATGGCCAGGCTGAGAAGTTTGATGCTTTGCTCAACTTGAACATGCTTCCTAAAAAAGCTATCAAGTGTAGCTAATAGCAGGGATATGAGATTAGTGCAGTAGGTCCAAATAGGGAATTGTGTGGGACCTTTGTTTCCTCCTATGTGAGACGTTTAAACCAGTGCTACCAATAGGTATCCTAACAAGGACAGATGTGTGATCACCTTCCTCACCCACGGATGCTCAATTCTCACGCACAGATTCTCAGTGTCAGTTTTGAGGTGCATTATGGTTGTGCCCATTGTGCAAAGGGGGAAACTGAGACCCAGAGGTATAAAATGACTGCTCAAAAATCGCTCGTATAGTCTGAGCAGAATGAGACCCCAGAAGGTCTCCTGACTCCAAGACCTCCTTCCTCCTGTACACACCAACACCTTTGCAGATTCTGATCCTAAGGGGGATTACACGTAGGTGACATGTCCAGAGAGACAGGTGGGCATGGGTTTAAAACGACCACTGACCATCTTTTCCAAACTCCACACATGGGAAGTGACCTGCACATGGTTGCACAGAGTTAAAGAGCTGGCCAGCAATCAAGTCAGCTCTGCGTCCAGATTCCCCTTCTGTGCCTCAAACTCTGTCATTTAGCAGTTACATAATTCTCGACAAGTCATTTGCCCTCTCTGTCCCCTTCTATTTCCTTACTCATACAGTGGACACACAGAGCTCCTACTTCATGGGTCTGTGTGAAGACCAAGTTCAGTAACAGCACACTAGGTTCCCCATGCAGCAGGCACTGTTCTAAACCTTTCACTTGGATCAGCTCATCTGAGCCCACAACCATCCAATGAGGGACTCCTCTTTTATAGGTGAGGAAATTGGGGCACAAAAAGGTTAAGAAACCCAACTGCCTCCAACAACTGAAAAATGGAGTTGTCAAGATGTAAACCTAGACCCTCAGACCCCAGTACCTATACCACTCACCAGTGGCAGGCACAGTGCCTGGCACACAGCAGTCACTTAATATATGCCCCAGATATATCCAGATGTCAGCTGTCTTCTTGGTCCTCTCATCTCATCCTGTGAAAGTCCCACATCCTCCTGCATGGGTTTTGCTCATTTCAGGGCTGTCAGAGGGAGAAGGTGATGCTAGGCTTCCAGGGACCCCTCTGCCACAGTGCCTGCATCCACACTTCTGCACCCACTGGGTCCTGAGCCAACACAGTCATGAAATCCATGAATCCACCTTCTCTGTGGGTGCCACAAAATATCCACCCAACCCAAGCACTTGGTGAGCTTGGAACACTTCTCTGGTGATCTGGGGGTCTCAGAGAAGGGTTATGTTGTGAGGGTCGCAGCCTTTGGCAATCTCTTTGATTCCCTCCACAATCGCCAAGATCCACAAGTCCTTCTTCCTTTTGTTATGCAGTGAGTGCAACCATGCCCAATGCCTGACCCCAAATTGGGTGCATCAACTCTATCAGGGCGCTCAGACAAGCCAGAGCCTGCATTAACTGTGTCTGCCTGCCTTACTAGGTATCCGGGGAACTAGAAAGGAGGGGGAATATTCTCTTTCCTTGTCATGTCACCATCAGCATCATCGTCACGGGATAAAAGCATCCTGGGGGTCAGGAGCAGGAATTGATGCATAATTGGACAAGGAATTCAAGACCACAGATACTAATGGTTCTAATAATGATGACAAGAGCTCATAGCGCTTCCCCAGCACAGTGTTTGCCGCATGCCAGCCTGTTCTAAGGACCCACGTGATTAATACTAATACAGGTAAAGCACGGGAACACTGTGTTTGCTGTGCTTAGCACTTTGAGTACCTTGCCTTGTAAGCAGGCGCTCTTCTTACTGGCCCCATTCCGCAGATGTGGCGGGCAGTGCTTACAGGAAGCCTTGTGCCGAGCTTGTGAGGAACCCAAGATCCCCACCATGACAAGGCTGACTCAGATCCTGCCTGGGAGAGACTGGAGACTGCAGAGGGTGTAGGCAGGCAAGAAGCAGGTTGGTCAGAAGGGGAGACAGTGAAGACAGATGGCAGAGCCACAAGCAAGGTGGACACGGGGCCAAGGTGGCTGCCCCAGTCCAAGCCCAGTGTGGTCTCTGGAGGGTAACAGTGTGCTTGTGCCCTCACGTGGCCGTGGACACACGCCAGGCAAGCAGGAGGCCAGCTCTGAGCCTCACAGGTCAAAAACAAACCTCCCCACCTTCTGGTTCAAGCAACTCAGAAGAGCCGGCTGCCATCACAGGGGGCAGCTAAACGCCCGCATCTGTCAGCCAGCCGTCACCACCGCCCACCCTGGGTCACGAATCAGCAGCTCCACTCACCTCCTGCCAGCAAGCACTTTCAGGCCAGCTCTGTCACTGGCCGTTGAGCCTTTGGAAAATGTAACCCTGTCAGCCTCACTCTGGGGCCCTTCCTAGAGCCAAAGGTCTCATGCCTCACTGCGTGCACATGGGAGCACACACATACACACAACTACACAAACATGGCAGCAGCAAGATGTGCACGTGTCCTCAAGTGTGTGCACTCAGCAGGTGTACACGTATCCACAGCCACACACTCTGCACGTACCCCTGCAGGTCCGCAGGTGTATTC